AAGTTATTTTACTGTTATTTTAGAGTTCTTCTAAATGGGGTTTTGGGGTTTTTAAATTCTTATAAACTAAATGGGGTTTTTGGGATTCTAAATGGGGTTTCTAAATTCTTATAAACTAAACGAATTTTAAGACTTTTCCAACTCACGTATGTCATACAACTAAAAGAAATTAAAGGATGAGAAAGATCAACTTAAATATCGTGTGCAACAAAAATGTATTAGGAAGCAGTTCCTGCCTCATCCCTTAGCTGTAAACACAGACAGAGCGCAGCGCCCAGGGAGAAGTGGAAAGGGAATCATCAGTACAGCAGCCTACCCGTTATGCAAGTGAAGAGCATAAAAGCTGTTTAGTACCGTTTTTCTTTTGCAGTCTGTCTCATTAACGAAACGTTGTTTCGGTGTCTGTTGATAAAACCAATAATAATTTTTCTTTTTTTTTTTTTTGATACCTTAAGTGAAACTGGACAGAATGCATTAGAGAAAGGATTCGAAATTACGTTTTTGCCTAACTCCTTCTTTTTTTTATTACAAGTTTGTTTTGAGCAGCAATTCGGATTCCATCAATTTTGATAGGATTTCATCTCTTCCCCCTTTTTTCTTACATCGATTTTTGACGGCAGTGTGGATCTTGCCAATTTTGTCTGCATTCCATCAATTTTGTCTGTATTCCATCAATTTCGTCTGGATTAATTTTAACTGGATTCCATTATATTTGACTGGATTTCATCAATACATTTCTGCTTTAGATATGGCAGCGTTTGCTCTTTTTCCGATAACTTTCATTAGTGGGCACAACGTTTTTGATGGATGCCGCTTGGGATTACGCTGACAGACTATGATTCATCAGCTTCAAATTTTCCACTAAAAACTGCCCTTAGCATGTGTTCATGTGTTTCAGTGAGAACATTTGAAGGGCTTTGTCAAGTACTTCTACCGAAAAACGAAACGAATGGTTTCTGTTACTAATATTTTTGTAAACAACGTGCAGCTGACTTTTTTTTACGCGCAGAAAATACCATATAAAGAACGGATTCTTCCATCCTTCTTCCTTAATTAAAATCAGACCTCTCCCCCGTTTTAATCTTCTTTAGAAGATATTTGGGGGATAGCGTTATACTTGTGTTTTTGCATATATGCAAGTGCAAAAAAATGCATGTTTGCGAATTTTCCACAAGTTCCGAACTCTTGACCAACGATGCCTGTAAAACTGAAACTTTGACAGATCCCCTCAAAAACTTTTAAAGAAAATACCTGTTCTCGCTCACTGTCGTTCAGAGAGCTAGCATGCTCAGCTGCTGATTCCTCGATCCTTTTCAGGAACGGCTTTTCCCACGTTATAATAGTTCGATCTGGACCCGATTTTTGCGTTGCAGAAGCCGTAATATTGCCAACGTCAGCACCAAAACCAAAAAGCTGCCCGCCTGCCATTTCCTGCAAATAACGAACTACTTTAATTTTGAAGTATCCTGACGTGATCCAAAAAATATCAACTCTTGGCACGGGTTCGTGGTGCACAGCACATCACTGACATCTCCAAATGCTATAGTTTAGCTAAGTGCTATCTGGTTAACCCTTCCCGAAGACAAAACTAACACCAGAATCGCC